CGTCGAGTGAATAATGCGCATGCGCGGTTTTCCTTGGGGGAACATTCTAACTACGCATGCTTATGTAGCATCTTCTCGGTCAGAAAACATAACGGTCGTACATACAAACAAGCAGAATAATAGTATAGATTAGAAAACTAGAATTTGTTTGTGAAACGATATCCAAGTCCAAACACACAGAAACAAACCTAAATTATATACACATATACATATATTGTAATAATTAGTTTTCGTTCTGAGATAATGACAGTTAGATTGCAAATGGAAAACACTATTTGATATATTTTGTATTATAATTTTAAACTGAAGTTTCCACTTAAAAGTAATATAAACACTATTAAGTTTATTGCAAATAACATGTGATCGTTTTGTTTAAAAGGAGAACATCAATTTATTTGCACAAGTCTTAGAATTATATCTAACATTTCTGGTAGAGCAAGTCCTGCTTAAAAATACTGTAAGTAGAAGGACGTCACCAAATGAGCTTATGCTTCTAAAAATAAAATATAGAACGCCACTTGCGTTTGGCGCGTGGAATGTATTCTAATGTTACGTGGTTAGCTGATTGAACTAGATAAAAAAAAGTTTAAAAAGAGCGCCTAGAGCATTCTGGGCTTGTTACAAAGATCGCTGAACATACAGAAATTCCAGACTCTTCATAGAGATAGTTTCGTCTTAATCCAGGAGAGAGCAAGCTCCAGGACCGGTAGAAGTTCGTGTATCGGACTAGATTAGGTTGATATTGAGATTGTCACTAGGGTTTGACAGACGTGAAAAAAAAAAGAGAGATAGAAAAAATTAGGCATTAATTTCAATATGGCTCCTAAAGGATTTTGGCGACGACCCCTCACACAGATGTACAACCGTAATTACCAATACGGGACTGGCCTGTACTCTGGTACTCTAGAAGACATAGAGAAACGCTATTCCAATTCAGTATCAAGAACTCGTCTGCCGTCTGACCGACTGGACACAGGATTCTCTTCATTTGGGTCGTCAATTCTGGGAGTAGGATTAAATGCCCCTGTCGACACCTCAACCTCAGCCATTAGAAGTCGCTCCCCACGTGTGGACTTTGATGCAAGTTCCAGCAACCGTCATCATGCCTTTCACAACAGAATGTCCGAACCTGAGTCCTATGACCTACGTAGAGCTCGATCATTTGGCGACTTCGACACCTTGCGTACCAAATCTGTATCTGATGAGTTCCCTACGTCCTATCTCTACTCTCTTCCTCCATCCTCGTACTATAGAGGATATGGCACTGAAGAGGAAACTGATGCGTCCAAAGCTCGCCGGAGGAGGAGAAGAAAGCATCAAGAATTTGCAAGTCTAGAGCGTAATCTTGCGGACACCTTTAATACCCTCACCTTTCACGAGCCGGTTTCTAACCCAACAACAAGTTCTAGCCAATGGATGGACAGGTGGTATGTATTATTATAGATCTTTAGAACCTTCTTTAAGACAACTGCGTGATAAACCAAAATGTATTTCATGTTCAAGTGTGTGACACTATTGTAAAATATTACTTTCTGACTTGTTTAAAGACAATGTACACATAACTCTTTTTTTTTTCTATAGCATTCCTCATTTCTTTTCCTTCTTTACAATATCTTTCATTTCTCCTCATTCTTTTTAATACACCCATTTTCCAATACACTACATTTAAGATATTTTACCATGGATTCTAGGTTCATTATGAAATATGTCTTTATGACAAAAAAATGTCGCAATTATACCACAGAACAAGAGAGTGGAGGCATGCACTTACAAACACTAAAAAAATTAATTGGCCAAAACGTGCGATTTTCTACATTCTGAAGTTTAACATTTACTAGCTAATGCTTTGATTTTTGTCTTTTTTATATATCTATTCTGTATCACAGATTAAATAAATGCATTGATACTTTGCTACGTTAATTAAAACACACAGCAAAATCATCTTAAACAACTTTCATGTCATTGTATCAGTGCTTCCCTGTGATAAAAATCGCCTGTAATTCTACTTTATATAAAACCGGTGGGTAGTTTTCGCGTACTTACATAAAGTTAAATATAACTTGATCTCAGGCAATTCCCATAATCTACATTTAATCCTCTACCTGTATGAAATGCGAGTAACTATGGGTTAAACGATACTTTCTTATTTATAGAACAATTCAATTTTGTGTTTTTTACAAGTTTTAGCTTCGCAAAAAGGTTTTATTCCTGTTCTAAAGTATTTTGTTATATTTATTACACGGACGGCATGAAACTGTAACAAAACTTTCTGCATATTTAATTTGGCAACATCATCTTATGGTTACCATTTAGAACTCCAAACTTCAACTGTCAACACACATATTTAACCTAAAAGATTTGAATATGAAATTTTGTTACGTTTTTCTTATAAAGGCCTATAGAGTTTTTATGACACAGATTGTGTTCTGAATCTAGGTGATTTGGGAATGATTACGTTGTATCACTGATTAGTATTACAACTGACAAGTATATGTATGATGTACCGTATTTTTCGGAATATAAGACGCACCCTTATTTTGAAGACAAAGTTTTTTGGGAAAAAAAGCTACAGTCGTATTTGAAAGATTTTTATTGAACAAAAATTCAATATGATACTTTAAAAATTAGTATATATTGTTCTAAACACAAAAGAGCTCAAACATCAAAATAAGAAAATACCGCAAATCAAAAAAAGGTTTACTGTTATTTAGTTTGGTTCAAAACCTACAAAATCTTCATTGCTTTCACTGTAATTTATTTTTTGATTATTTAGGGAGCATTATAAATAGTTATGTTTTAAAAGAAAACTGCTATTGTTATAAATAACACATTCAATTGAACTAAACTAGCATGCCTATTTATATATATTTACACATGGCTTGTGTATATCACATATATATGTATTCTTCATTCCTTCGGTGTATAGGACGCAAGCAGATTTTGACATCAAATTTTGGGGTAAAAA